TCAAAATGTATAAAAGGAAAATCACTTTACCACTGTAAAGGTTATAATTCACAATAAAGAAAATATATATGAATATATATAATCTTAATAATACAGCCGCAACATGCAGAAAACAGAAATTATAGGAGATAAAAGGAGAAACAAATACCTTAATAACAGGAAATTTAAAATTATATCTCCTAGCCTGAGCAAACAAAAATAAAGAAAATAAATGATGAAAACATCACAATCAAAATAGTAGATAAGATGGTCATTAATTTCACTCTACCCTAATAAATGAATATACTTTGTTTTGAAATAGCCACTGAACTACCAAAAAATTAGCCATATATCAGGCTACAAAAAAAACTCAACAAATTCTAAAAGCAGAAATATAAACCACATTCTCTGATTAACACAATAAAACTAGAAATTCATAACAAAATCAGAAAACAAAAAGTCCTCCAATCCAAGTATTTAAAAAGTCTCTCAAACAATATTTGAATCACAGGAAATATAAATAATTATATGTGGAACTTCAAGAAAATATAGAACAAAAATACTTTATATCAGCTTTTCAATACAGTTAAAACAGTAATCACAGGACAAATTATTGTTTTAAACACTTTCATCAATGAGAAAAAAATGAAAGTAAATTACTAATTTAGCTTTAAAAGTTAGAAAAGTAACTTTAGTTTAGTTAACTGAAGAAAAGTAAATGAAAAATGTGTAAAGAGAAAAGCAGAAATTAAGTAGGTAGAAAATACAAAGCCAGAACAACAACAACAGCAAAATGGAAGACTGGATGCAATGGCTCATCACTTTGGGAAGCCAAGGCGGGAGAAACACTTGAGACCAGGAGTTCAAGACCAGTCTGACCAGGCAACACAGTGAAACCCTGCCTCTATAAAAAAATTTTTTTTTTTTTTTTTGAGTTGGAGTCTCACTCGGTCGCCCAGACTGGAGTGCAGTGGCCATTCCCGGCCACCACAGCCTCGCCTGCTGGGCTCCGGCGATCCTTCTGCCTCAGCCTTCCGAGTAGCCGGAATTACAGGCATGCGCTACCACACCCGGCTGATTTTTTGATTTATTGTAGAGATGAGGTCTCGCTGCCCAGGCGGGTCTCGAACCCGCAGGCTCAGGTAATCCACTCACCTCAGCCTCCCAAAGGTGCGGGATTACAGGCTGAGCCACCGAGCCCGGCTCAAAAAAATTTTAAAGCTCTTTTGCTAGGGAAAAAAAAAATCAGTTGACTGAACTACTAGCTATTCCAATAAAGAGTAAAAGGATAAAAAATATGTACAAAAAGAAATTAGGGGAAACCCACAGAAATAGACAAAATTTCAAAAAATAATAGAGACTACTTTGTAAAATTCTATATAATTAAATTAAATATAAGTAAAATAAATAATGTTCCGGGAAAATGTGACCAACCAAAAGTGAACTCAGGCAACCTGAACAGATTGATTTTCACAAAATAAATGGGGGAAATTTTAAACAAGCTGACCATCTAACAAAACAAAATTATTTAAAAAAAAAAAAATCAGATCACAAGGTTTTGCAGGGGAATACTACAAAATTTAAGAAGAGCTGATATTTTCAATTCTGTTTTTAAACTGTTACATTTTAGAAAATGGAAAACTTCTGAATTCTTATGAAATATTAATATAAAAATTTGAAGATGACTGCACAAAAAAAAAGAAGACTGCAGATTAATCTTACTTTTGGATTTTAATTTAAAAAGTAAAGTATTAGCAAATAGAACCCAGCATCACATTAAAATAATCTAGGAATGCCAGCTTGCTTCAATGTTCGTTAAAAAGAAGAGAAATATCATCAGTTCCATAAAGGCTAAAAAGGCATCTGACAAAATTTAACACACATTCTTGATTAAAAGTACTTAATAAAATAGGAGTCAACAGATGTTCCTTAATATCACAATATATATACACAAACCTATGTATGCATAATACTTAATGCAGAAACACTAGAAACAGTCCTTCTAAGGAATAAAAATAGGATGCCTACTAATCACTACCGTTTAATATTGTCTTAATTAGTCAGTATAATCTGATAAAAAAAGTTAGAGGTATAAAAATCCAAAGGAAGAGGTAACCCTATCACCATCTGCAGAAGATATGATTATAACCTAGAAGACCCCTGAAAATTACTTGAAAATGTACTATAAACAATAATGGAATTCAAATAAGGCAGAGAGATAAAAAGTTAGTATATAGAAGTCAAAAGTTTTCATGTATATAAACAATTAACAGAATCTGTAAACCAATTTAACAGCAACAAAAAAGAGAAAATATCTAAGAATAACAAAAAATGTACAAAATTTATTGTGAGGAAAGTTTTAAAAACACTCCTGAAGAAAACAAAAGTAATCTTGAACAAACAGAAAGACAGACTGTGTTCTTGTACAGAAACACTTAACACCTTAAAGATGTCAACGTACCCTAATTTAATTTATAAATGTAATGAGATCTCAATAACAATAACAACTTATAGTCTCCTATTAACTGGATCTAAAAAGGTTTTTCTAAAGCTTATACGGTAAAATACTTAAGAATGGCCTGCCAAACCCTGAAAAGAGAAAACAGGACTAGCCCTATCAGATATTAACAATCATAAAAGAAATGACTAACCAATACATACATGTATATGTGTATATGTGTGTACACATACAGACAAACTTGAGCATGGCAAAACAAAAAACACTCCACCGCACCAACTTCAAAAGACAAATAATAACCTATGCATAACAGATGCAACTCACATTAAAATGAAGGGCTAATCTCCTTCATCTAGAAAGCACTCTCAGTAAATGAGAAGACCAAAAATCCAATAGGAAAAAAGGGAAAAGGTATAAACTAACAGTTCATTAAAAAAGAAACACAAGTGGCCCTTATACGTAAAAAGGTGATCAAATACAAATTAATGTATGTAAGGAAACCATTTCTTACAAATCTAAGAGTTTGACAACTCTAATGGAAAAATGTCTACAACCTCTATGGAGAGCAATCTGACAATAATGATCAAAATTGCAAATACATTTACCCCTGACCCATCAATCTCACTTCCAGGAATTTATCTTACAGATGTATCTAAATATACATAAAATAATGTTCTGAAATGGCAAATAAACTCTAGTATACATCAAAAGGGAACTGGTTAAATATATCCCCTTTCCATCATATATTACAAAATGATAGATGCCACTGAAGAAAATGAGGAAATTATGCACAGATCTGGAGCAATCCAGGGTCCCTTGGAGGAATGTCTATTTTCAGGTACTCTTCAGGAAACCTAAGATGAGCCAGAAATATCTTGCCATGCCAAAAGGCAAGGAAGCTATCAAATACTAATCAATTATCAATAAGACATTGTACTTTTCCATATAAAAATTCCATCTCTCATGCAAAAAGAATAACAGAATTCAAAAAAATTACCAGTTGGTAATCCCCAGTGAAAAGATTTGAGTAACAATAATCAATTAATAGAACATTAATAATTAGAAGGTTGATTGAAAAATTAATAATAAAGAGATCTCTGAATCTACTGAATAATCTCTGAACCTATGGAATAATTTCAGCATCACTAAAATTGGAACCACCAGATACAGTGTGTCTCCTAATGTGATACAACATAAAGCACCTATGAAGTATTCTGAACTAGAACTGAATCAAGCTTCTAGGGCTAACTTTTATTTTCAGGAATTATAAGGAATAGAAGAACAAGGTAATGACACAAGAAAAGAAAAAGATGGAATCAGATTTGTGGATATTCTACAAAACCAGTGACCAAGTTTTTACAACAAGTCAATGGCATAAAGAAAGAAAGAAACAAAGAATAAAGGAAATGGGACTATTAGATTAAAAAAGACATGATAGGCTTCTGCTCATTTCACTGAACAGCTGAAAAAAATAAAAAATAAAAAAGACATGATAATCAAATGTAATGTGTGGATCTTGTTTGAATTCTAATTAGAATCAAATGACTAGAAAAAGACATATTTGAGACAATCAGGAAAATCTGACTATGAACCGGGTATTAGAAGATAAAAATAAATGCTTGTTTTTAATTTTCCTACATATGATAACGTGCTATATAAGAAAACATTCAAATTTTGAGAAGTACAACTGAAGTGGTAGCACCAAAATAACATTCTGTCTGAATTTGATTTTTAAAATATTATAGTAGAGGAAAAAATTGATATAGATTAAGCCTGACATCTCAATACATGGTAGTTCATTATACTATTCTCCCACTTTCATATAAGCTTGAAAATATTTGTAAGAAAACACCTAAAAATGAGAATGCAATTTTTTTTTTGAGTCTAAGCCTCACTCTGTCACCTAGGCTGAGTGCAGTGGCACGCTGCTCATGGCCATTGCCGTCTTGATCTGCTGGGCTAGGTGATCCTTCTGCTGACTCAGCCTTCCAAGTAGCTAGAACCACAGGCATGCGCTACCATGTCTGGCTAATATTTTTTGATTTATTGTAGGGCTCACCAAGTTGCCCAGGCTGGTCTTGAACCCATGGGCTCAGGCAGTCCTCTTGCCTCTGCCTACCAAAATCCTGGGATTACAGGTGTGAGCCACACCGCACCCGGCTTGTAATACAATTAACACCACAGTAAAAAAAAGCAGAAGGCATAAAACCTGAGATCACTATTACCAAAAGACATCTCTTTTTTTAAAGTAAATATTTCATAATGCAATGTTGAGTTACAGTAAAAAAGGACCAAAGTGAATTATAATAGAAGATTGTTCAAATTATCATGTCAGAGCTTTGAAATTTGTCTTCATGTGCTTCATGTTTAGTAACATTCTAGGATAAGTTCAGTGCAAAGGCTTTCTGAATGAAATGTAATACAAATATAAAGGTTTTCCAGTACATCATAATACGTGTCCAAATATTACATGACACCAGTACATATATATATAATTTACATATACACACATGCCATATAGAAATCAGCTACCTAATATAGAATACAGCCTTAGTTCTCTTACCATCGATATTAAGCATCATTTTCCACATGGCAGGCCGAACAGATTGATGGAATCCAAACCATACTTCCCTACCCCCTCCTAGAGGGTGGTCATATCCTTCTGGAGCTGAGAAAAAGGAACGCCCCACAGGTGTATATCTACAAAAATTAAAATAGCATATTCAATTCTTTCCTTTTCATACAGGTACTTAAATCTACAGAACAGGGGAGACTAGAGCACAGACAATTTATTTGAATTTATGAAACCAAACATGTTCCAAGTTTGTGAAAGCAAAAAGTACCCAATATAAATGAAAAGAAAAAAAAAAACCACTGGAATTCTCCTTTCTCTTATTTAGTTTAAATAATAACAAATTATATTTAAAATACTTTCTTTCTTTTTTTTTTTTGAGTTGGAGTCTCACTCGGTCGCCCAGGGCCACCGCAGCCTCAACCTGCTGGGCTCCGGTGATCTTTCCGCCTCAGCCTTGCAAGTAGCTGGAATTACAGGCATGCGCTACCACGCCCGGCTGATTTTTTGATTTATTGTAGAGATGAGGTCTTGCTGCCCAGGCGGGTCTCGAACCCACGGGCTCAGGCAATCCACTCACCTCAGCCTCCCAAAGGCGCGGGATTACAGGCTGAGCCACCGAGCCCAGCTATACTTTCTTAAAAATACATTTAAGGGTAAAAAATGTAGTACATATACATGAAGGAGTATTATGTAGCAATGAAGAAGGACAAAATGATGACCTTCATAGCAACTTGAATGGATTTAGAGTCTATAATACTCAGTAATCTATCACAGAAACAAAAAACTGAATACCACATGTTCTCACTCATAAGCGGACCCTGAACAATTATAATACTATAAGAAAGGGATTGGTAGTAGCATGGCATTGCCAGAGGAGAGAGGGGCACACTTCACCAATAGGGGTACCTGATCTCAAACCAGGCAAAGTGGGGAGCAAAGTTAGACCTAAACTTTACCTGTATAATGACCATTTGTATACCTTATCCTGAATTGTGCCCCACATCTTAAAAAAAATACATTTAAGGACAAATGTGGTGGCTCACACTTGTAATCCCAGCACTTCGGGAGGCCGAGGCTGGAAGATCACTTGAGCCCAGGAATTCAAGACTAGCCTGGGAAGCCAGGCTCAGTGGCTCAGCCTATAATCCTGCACCTTTGAGAGGCTGAGGTGAGTAAATTGCCTGAGCCTGCGGGTTCGAGGCCCGCCTGGGCAGGCGAGACCTCATCTCTACAATAAAAAAAAATTTAAAAATTAGCCGGGTGTGGCTGTGTGCGCCTGTAGTTCCAGCTACGTGGAAGGCTGAGGCAGAAGGATCGCTGGAGCCCAGCAGTTCGAGGCTGCAGTGGCTGGGAGCGGCCACTGCACTCCAGTCTGGGCGACAGAGTGAGACTCCAACTCAAAAAAAAAAAAAAAGACTAGCCTGGGCAACATAGTGAGATCCTCATCTCTACAAAAAAAAAAATTAAAAACAGCTGCATGTGATGACATGCACCTGTAGCCCCAGCTACTTGGGAAGCTGAGGTAAGAAGATTCCTTGAGCCCAGGAGGTCAAGGCTGTGGTGAGCCAGGATCATACCACTGTACCTCACTCCAGCCTGAGACCCCACTCAAAAAAAAAAAAAAAAGGTTAACTGTTTCAACTTTATACACACGCACACACACACACACACACACACAAGTATATGTAAGTATACACACACACACACACACACATACACACACACACACACAGACATACACATGTGAGGTCTTAGTAAAAATAGCATCCAAACACAATTTGACACTATTGTATAAACAGTGAAATTACTTTTAAAACAAGATAATTGAACTAAAGGACTATATCTGAAAATAGATCAGTTATTCAAGATTTATAGTTCCTAAGACAAAGGGTGAGACATTTTTCTATAAAAGTGTTCATGAGACAGGCTAAGCTAATAGTATGTATTTACTTGCAAAAGTCAGAGAATTTTCTGTAACTTACTTTTGTCAATGAATTTGTATGCATGTTATTCTTGTTCAGCACTTCAGTTGAACAATAAAAATATACAACACATAAAGGTTAACCAAGGGAAGCCTGCACACACAACTCACTCCTGGGAGGAAAACTTTCACATTAAAAATCTAAAGAGGAAAAAAAGCCAGAAGCACCCACTTCATGGAGGGTAGATGTCGTAGCACCACATCAACAGCATGGACAGGGTTAGTGCTGATTGGCTTGTCTAATTCCAGTGGCTCAGGCAAGGTCCGTCCTGTCAGTACTTCATGCAGTAGGTGCCAACTCACCCGAGAGACAAATTTGATTGACACCTTAAAAGGTCGATCTTTTCCACCTTCCCCAGGTAAGGTAACGTCTAAATCTACCTGTTGATGGGAAAAGAGTCAACTGGTAAATTGGAAAAAGATAAAAACAATTATTTTCAGCTTAACTTAGAAAACAAGGCAAAAATAAAAATTCAATCTCAACATTGTCAAATCAACAGACTAAAGTTTATCATCTATTTTATTTTTTGTAGACTAAAATTTAAATAATAGTTACTCGTGCCAGCATTATTTGTCATTGCAAAATACTGGAAACTATCTAAAAGTCCCAACATTTAGGAAGCTATAAAAAAAGAATGAGGAAGATCTCTTGAAACTGCTTGGAATAATTTCTAAGCTATATTGTTAGGCAAAAAGAGCAAAATACAAAAGATTACAAATCATATGACATCTTATGTGTGAAAAAGGAACAATGAGAAAATATTCATATATTTGCTTACTTTTGCAAAAAGAAACACAGGAAGCGTGAACCAGAAACAAAGAAATTGGCTACTTTCAAAGGATGAGAGGCAATGGATTGGGAGAAGTAAGGAACAATTCTGAGTATGTGTTTTGGCACAGTTTTGATGTTTGGAAGCATATTAAAATTCTATATATTTTTTAAAATCTAAATAAACAAAAATAGAGGGAAAATTAAAACTGAATATCATAAACAGAATCAAAAGAACCTCAATGCATTTCAAATAATGTAATCACACTGAAAGGAAAAAGAAAACACTAATTCAAGTAACTCCCTCTCTCTTTTTTTAGAGACATGGTCTCTGTCACTTAGGCTGGAGTGTAGTGCTCATTGCAACCTCGAACTCCTGGGCTCAAGTGATCTTCCTGCCTCAGTTGCCAAAGTAGTTAGGACTACAGGTGCATGACACCATACCTGGCTAATTTCAAGTAACTCTTGAACATAGTATGTATAGTACCTATACTCTCAGTTCCAGGAAAAAGGGCAGGTCTGGAAGAACTGCGTACAAAATAAAACCTTGAACTCATTAGTAGGTTTGTTTTCTGTAGTGGTATGAGTTTAGTAATTCAGAAACTATATATACTGTAGGACTGAGCAAATGAGAAAGAGTAGTGATGTTTTGAGGCATCAGAAGTCTAACTAAAGAAGGAAGATACAAAAGTGGACTGGGGTGAGGAAAGGAAGTATCATGTGGAGATAGACTGAAAATGGAAAACCAAGTGTGAACTCATGATTTCCAATATACATACGTTAGATTTACTATACGAAGTATAATTTTTTTTACCTTAGCTAGCTACAAAACAACATGAAGTATAATACTTAGCTTTCTGTTTTATTTATTTGCTTATTTATATACTTATATTTCCTACCTCTTGCCATTGAAAGGGCTTAGAAGCATATATACCTTCGGCAACAATGAGCACACTCAGTATTCAAACTTTCATTTCAAAATTGCATTCTTCAACTAAAAGAAACCAGGAGTACACTGAGAAATGGTTAGTTGTGAGAATGCAGCGGAGGAAACAGCAAACAAGCCTGAACTTCTTGTTGTGCCAGAAAGTAATTAAGTCATGTACTACATACTGACTTTTGGTCAACATTGGACTGCATACACAACAGTGGTCCTATAAGATTATAATGGAGCTGTCTTATGCAGGTGTACCATTTAAACAAATCTTTTATAATATTTTTTTACTATACTTTTTCTATATTTAGTATGCTTAGATACAAATTGCCTACAGTATTCAGTACAGTAACATACTACACAGGTTTATAGCCTAGCTATAATAGGCCATACTATATTGCCTAGGTGTATAGTAGGCTATACCATCTAGGTTTGTGTAAGTACACTCTATGATGTTAGCACAGTGACAAAATTGTCTAATAAGACATTTCTTAAAACGTAATCCCATCATTATTTGACTCATAACTGTATTCCCTCCAAAAATGTGTCACTTTAAAAAGGACATAAGAACCAAATCTGGGACAATCTGGGAGTTGAAATCAATAAACAGGGTAGAAGAAAATATTCTCCCTTACAGCAGACTAATACATGGAGAAGGAATGACAGACTTGTATCAAAATAGGACACAACCAATAGTGTGAAAAGGCAGCCCATGAAATGTGAGAAAATATTTACAGATCATATATGTAAGGAGTTAATATCCAGAATATATAAAGAACTCCGACACTGGTACTGAGCATTTTAGCTAAAAAAAAAACCCCAAAAAACTCATACACAACTCACTACCATCAACCACAAGAAACCAAACCAAACCAACAACCTAATTAAAAAATGGGCAAAGAAGGATCCTCTTACAACTACACGAGAAGTTGTCTAAGAACTCAAAAAACAAACAAGCAAAAATAGGCAAAGGACTTGACTACACATTTCTCCAAAGAAGATATACAAGTGACAAATGAACACACAAAGTGATGCTCAACCTCACTAATTATTGGCGAAACGCAAATCAAAACCACAATAAGATATCATCTCACACCCACTGGAATCACTACTACAAAAAAACAAAACAAAACAAAACCAGAAAACAACTATTGGTGTGGCTATGAAAAATCTGGAACACCTGTGTACAGTTCTTGAAAATTAAAAATGGTATAGTCACTTTGGAAAACAGTAGGGTTGATACTCAAAAAATTAAAAATAGTAATTACCACATGTCCAGCAATTTCACTTCTGGGTATATACACAAAAAATTGAAGGCAGAATCTCAAAGAGATATTTGTATACTCATGTTCACAGCAGTATTATTTGCAAGAGTCAAAAGGTATCCATCAGTGGAAGAATGGATAAACAAAATGTGGTATATACAAACAATGGAAGATTATCTTGCACAGAAGGAAATTCTAACATATGCTACAACATGGATAAATCTTGAGGATATTATCTAAGTGAAATAAGCCAGTCACACACACACAAAAACAAAAACCACCGTATGATTCCACACTTATATGAGGCTAGTTAAATTTATAGAGACAGAGAGAACAATGGTGACTGCCAGGAGCTGATGTGAGGAGGCAATGGGGAGTTATTGTTTAAGGAATACAGAGTTTCTCTTTTTCTTTTCTTTTTTTGTCGAGTAAGAGTCTCACTCTGCTGCCCAGGTTGGAGTGCAATGGCATGATCAAGGCTCACCACAGCCTCAACCTCCGGGGCTCCGGTGAGCCTTCTGTGTCAGCCTCCTGAGTAGCTGGGACTACAAGTGTGCACCACCATGCATGCTTATTTTTTTATTTTTTGTTTTGTAGAGATCAGGTCTTGCTATGTGGCCTAAATGGGTCTCAAACTCCTGGACTCAAGCAATTCTCCCACCTCAGTCTCCCAAATTGCTGGATTACTGGCATGAGCCACTGTGAGACTTTCAGTTTTGCAAAATAAAAACAGTTCTGGAGATGATGGTGATGATGATTACATAACAAAGTGAATATGCTTAATATCACTCTATCCGTACCTTAAAAATGGTTAAGATGGTAAATTTTATTTTACATGTATTTTACCACAATTAAAAAAAAAGTATCTCCCCCAAGATACTTAGTAACTACAAGGAGAAAAATAATACCTCAGTAGGAGAAATAAGACAGATTCCAACTTAACCAGATGATAAAAGTTAACATACCAATAATGGAACAAATACATATTACATGCTGCTTGATATGATGCGCTGACAAGGAAAGAAAACTATGTAATATTCCTGCCAAAAATGCATAACCAGAATGCAATCAAGGGGAAGGAAGAATCAACAAATCCTGACTGAGGAACACTCTACAAAAAAATTTGCCTGTAATCTTCAATTATGTCATGAAAGAAAAAAAGTCTGAGGAACTGCTCCAGAATAAAGATTAAAAACACATGATATCTATATCATGATCCTAGACTAGAGTCTATACTGGAGGAAAAATAATGCTAAAAGATATCATTGGAACAACTGAAAAAATTGGAATTTGGATTGTTGATTAATAAAAGTATCATAAGCTGGGCTCGGTGGCTCAGCCTGTAATCCTGCGTCTTTGGGAGGCTGAGGTGAGTGGATTGCCTGAGCCCACGGGTTCGAGACCTGCCTGGGCAGCGAGACCTCATCTCTACAATAAATCAAAAAATCAGCTGGGCATGGTAGCACGTGCCTGTAATTCAGAAGGCTGAAGCGGAAGGATCGCTGGAGCCCAGCAGGTCGAGGCTGCGGTGGCTGGGAGCGGCCACTGCACTCCAGTCTGGGCGACAGAGTGAGACTCCAACTCAAAAATAAATAAATAAATAAATAAAAATAAAAATAAAAAAGTATCATATCTATGTTAAATTTAATGAAGGTAATAACTGTGCTATGGTTTTTATCCCTGTTCTTAGGAAATATATATTAAAGTATTAAACATTAAAGGGGGTTGATATGTGCAACCTATCTGTGAATGGTTCAGAAAAAATAAGCATGTATGTCTGCCTCTCTAGACAGTCATCTGAGTCAATATAAAGAGAGCAAAAGAGATAAAGAAAAAAATAATATTAAGAATGTTGGTGAGACTAGGCTAAGGGTATATGACAGTTCTCTGCATGATTCTTGCAATTTCTCTGTAAGTTTAAAATTATTTCAACATAAAAAGTCAAAAAACAGTGATATATATTTACATATGGATAGGCTGTAATAAAAAAATGGCAATAGATGCATGTAAAAGTCTAGCTTCCTTTTTTTCTGAGTTGGAGTTTCACTGTCACCCAGGCAGGAGTGGAGCACAATGGCACGCTTACAGCCACCACAGCCTCGACCTGCTGGGCTCAGGTTATTCTTCTGCCTCCAAGTAGCTGGAACTACAGGTGCACGCCACCACACCTGGCTAATTTTTTTGATTTATTGTAGAGATGAGGTCTCGCCAAGTTGCCCAGGCTGGTCTCATACCCTGGGCTCAGGCCATCCTCTCACCTCAGCCTCTCAAAGTGCTGGGATTACAGGTGTGAGCGACCGCACCTGGCTAAAAGTATAGCTTTCTAATAAAGAAGTGCATAGTGCATATCTTACCCCAGTAGTTGCCACAGGAAGTGGATTGGCGGTGTAAAGGCTTCTTTTTCCATCATAAACTGGTCTACGGTCTCCAAATATAGTTACTTTAAAATGCTGAACCATAGAGTCAACCACCTCCCTAAAGAAGGAAAAAAAATACATTCACATAATTCTCTGCAAGATGAAATACAAAAATATTAACTAAAGTAACTTTGGTATTGTTTAATGCTGTCAAAATTCTAAAAGAAATGCAAGCATGATTAAGATTTGCTTTTAGAACCATAGCTTAGGATACCAAAAAGACTGATTACTGACAAAAGAGGTCATGCATTTCACAAGACAGAAAAGAATGAAATCTGCAAATTACTTAATCATTCCAGTACAATATGACCTGCAAAATAGTCTCCGTAGAATCTCATCAAAACCCCTTTCACTACTTTTAAATACTTCCTAACATATTCACCTCTCTCAAAGCACAGAAGTTCTTTGCTCTGTGCACACATATGACCTAGCACATTTCTCTACTGGAACACTTAGTATTCCATGTATTATAATGATTATATACTTTAATTCTATTGTGAACTTCTTGAGAGTAGCAAGCACACCTGTATTCCTTTCTCCTCAAATTTTAACTAGTAAACAATTGATCCAATATAACTGACACAGAAAGATATTTAAGACTTATATATTTTTTTAAATTACAGACTTTATACAGAATGATACCAAATAGTCACAAATCAGTATTTATTTTTGTGCACATATATTTGTAAAAGCAGAGAAAATATATCTGAAAGGATATGTTTCAAATAGATACAGTGGTTAAGGGAAGTGACAGGGTCACAGAGTGACTTCTATTTTGTTTATAACCTAAATATATTACAGTAAGAGTAATATTTTTCTCCCTTCTCAATTCTTTGACTAAACCTACTGAAATCAAGATCAAGTCTTCTCCAGAGTAAATTTTACAATAAAGATTTTATTCATCTATCATTTTAAAATTCAAAATAAATTTCAGTGACTTTTTGTTGTTGTTGTTGTTGCCATTTTAAGCTTTCTTTTGTGGCCATTATTTCCAAGTCTAGTTTCTCAGGTGAAATTCTACAGATCTAATTTGTCAAGATGTTTTTACCTTTTATTCTTTTTCTTTTTTTTAACCAGAACAACTTCAAGCTTACCAATTCCTGGAAACACAATAAAACCACTCTAAGGATCAAAATGGTGGAGGCTTCTTATTCTTAGGAATAAGCTAGGCATCCATCCTGCTTTGATGCCTCCCACACAGCATATCCTCAATGATATTTTTGTTTGAGTCAAGAGTCTCACTCTGTTGTCCAGGTTGGAGTGCAGTGGCACGTCATGGCTCACCAGAGCCTTGACCTCCTGGGTTCAGGCGATGCCTCTGCCTCAGCCTCCAGAGTAGCTGGGACTACAGGTGTACAGCACTACACCCAGAAAATTTTTCTATTTTAGGCAGAGACAAAGTATTGCTATGTTGCCCAAGCTGGTCTCGACTCCTGGGCTCAAGCAATCCTCCCACCTTGTATTCCGAAAGTACTAGGATTACAAGTGTGAGCCACCATGCCAGACCCTCAATAAATGTTCTGACAGTAAATGATTTACCTCAGTGAAATGCTAGAACCTCCTTGGAATATATCTAAAGCTGAATTCAACATACCTATGCCAAGTTAAACTAGGCAATGTTCTGTTACTCCTTTTAAATTAATGGGAATCTCCATCTTCTCAGCTACCCAGAATCAAAGTCTGGCTCATTTCTTCACAAAATTAGTTGTTGATGCTACCTCTCTGCAGCATTTCCCCCCTCCCTCCCTCCCTCTCTTGTTAGAGTCTCATTCTGCAGCCCAGGCTGAAGTGCAGTTGCACCATTTCTGGGCTCAGGTAGTCCTTCCACTTCAGCCTTCCAAGAAGCTGGAACTACAGGCACATGCTACCACACATGGCTCATTTTTGACTTATTGGAGAGACAAGATCTTGCCAAGCTGTCCAGGCTGGTCTCAAACCCGTGGGATCAGGCAATCCTCTCACCTCAGCCTCCCAAAATGCTGGGATTACAGAAGTAAGCCATAGCACCCAGTCTTAGTTTAGCTCCCACTTCTAAGTAAGAACATGCAGTAATTAGTTTTTTGTTCCTGAATTAATTCACTTAGGATGATGTGCTTCATTTCCATTCAAGTTGCTGCAAAAGACATTATTTCATTCTTTTTGATGGCTGAATAGTATTTGACAATGTATATATACCACATTTTTATTATCCACTGACAGGTTGATGGGTATTCAGGTTGATTACACATCTCTGCAATTGAGAACTGTGCTGTGATAAACATGCAGGTGCAGGTTTTTTGTTTTTTTTAAAATATAACATCTGTTCCTATGGCTAGATACCTAGTAATGGGATTGCTGGATCAAATGGCAGATCTATTTTTAGTTCTTTGAGAAATCTCCATGCTGACTTCCATAGAGGTTTCAACTAATTTATATTCCCACCAACAAAGTATAAGTGTTCCCTTTTCTCCACATCTGCACCAGCATCTTTGTATTATTATTATTTTGAGCCTGGGTCTCATGCTGTGGCCCAGGTTGAAGTTCAATGGCATGATCACAGCTAACCACAGCCTCTACCTCCTGGGATCAGGCCATCCTTTTACCTCAGTTTCCCAAATACTGAAACTACAGGCATGCACCATCACACCCAGTAATTTTTTTTTTTTTAACTTTTTGAACAGACAAGGTCTTGCTACGTCATCTAGGCTAGCCTAGAACTCCTGTGCTCAGGCAACCCTCCCACCTCAACCTCCCAAAGTGCTGGGAATATAGGTGTGAGCCACCGAGCCAGCCCTGTTTTTGATTTTTTAATAATGGCCATTCAGACTGGTATAAGGCGGTATCTCATCCTGGTTTTAATTTGCATTTTCCTGAAGATTACTGATATTAAGCATTTTTTCATGTTTGTTAGCCATCTGTATATCTTCTTTTGAGAGATGTCTGTTCATGTTGTTTGCCTACTTTTTAATGTGGTTATTTGCTTTTTTCTTGATTTATTTGAGTTCTTTGTAGATTCTAGATATCAATCCTTTGTCAGGAGTATAGTTTATGAATATCTTCTTCCATTCTGTAGGTTGTCTATTTGTTCTGTTAATTATTTCTTTTGCTGTGCAGAAGTTTTTTTTTTTTTTAAGTTAGAGTCTCACTCCGTAGTCCAGGCTGGAGTGCACTGGCACACTCATAGCTAGCCCAGCATCGAGATTCTTCTGCCTCAGCTTTCCAAGTAGCCAGACCTACAGGCACAAGCTACCACACTAATTTTTTTTTAATTGTAGAGATGAGGTCTTGCCAAATTGCTCAGGCTGTTCTCAAACCCATGGGCTCATGCAGTCCTCTCACCTCAGTTTCCCAAAATGCTGGGATTATAGGCTTGAGCCACCGCGCCTGACCAGAAACTTTTTAGTTTAATTAAGTCCCACTTGTTTATTTTTATTTTTGTTGAATTTGCTTTTGGGGTTTAACCACCTATTCTTTGACTAGGTCAAAATGCAGAAGAGTTTTTCCTAAGTTTTCTTCTAGGATTTTTATGGTTTCAGATCTGACATTTATGTCTTTAATCCATCTTGAGTTAATGTTTGTGTATAAGAAGAGTCAGGGATCAAGTTTCATTTTTCTGCATGTAGGTATTTAATTTTCCCAGCACCATTTGTTGAATAGGATGTCTTTTTCCCAGTGTGTGCTTTGTCTGCTTTGTCAAAGATCAGTTGGTTGTAGGTATTTGGGTTTATTTCTGGATTCTCTATTCTGCTCCACTGGTCTATGTGTCTGCTCTTGTACCATTACCATGCTGCTGTGGTTACTATAGCCTTGTAGTATAATCTGAAGTCAGGTAATGTGATGCCTCCAGCTTTGTTCTTTGTGCTTACGATTGTTTTGGCCATTCTGGCTTTTTGTTTTTTTGGTTCCATAAGAATTTTAGTGTTTTTTCTAATTCTGTGAAAAGTAACGTTGGTAGTTTGATAGAAATTGCACTGAATCTATAGATTACTTTGAGTAATACGGTCATTCTAACAATGTTGATTTTTCCAATCCATGAGCATGGGATGTTTCTCCATTTGTTTTTGGTTTTTTGGGATTTTTTTGAGTTGGAATCTCACTCTGTCACCCAGGCTGAAGTACAGTGGCACGCTCATGGTCACTGCAGCCTCAACTTGCTGGCTCAGGCAATCCTTCCACCTCAGCCTTCCAAGTAGTTGGAACCACAGGAGTGTGCCACCATGCCAAGTTAATTTTTTGACTTACTGTAAAGTTGAAGTTTCACCAAGTTGCCCAGGCTGGTCTTGAATCCCTGGGCTCAGGCAATCCTCTTGCCTCTGCCTTCCAAGGTGCTGGGATTATAAACGTGAGTCACCACGCCCAGCCTATTGTTATATGTATAAACTTCAGTCACCTTCGAAGTACTCTTAGATGTAAGACACTTATCAAGATGCTATTTTCACTACTCAAAAAAGTTTTTGAACTTGTCAGTTTTGATGCCTTTTAGTAATTCTGTCGTTTTTTGTTTTACCTCTTCCACATCAGCAAAACATTTCCCTTTGAGACTTTTTTCATCTGGGGAAACAAAAAAAGTTGCCTGGGGCAAGATTGGGTGAATAGGGAGAATGAGTCTGTTCATGCTGTTTTTGAACAGACTCAGCACAGTGGGCAGATGAGTTGTCATGGTGGAAGAACCAGTGACCTGTTTGCCACGACTTGGGATGTTTCTTCCACAAATCATGATGCAACATTCTCAAAATTTCCAGATAAACTGGGCACGGTGTCTCATGTCTGTAATCCCAGCACATTGGGAGGTGGAAGCAAGAGGACTGCCTGAGCTCAGGGGCTCAAGACCAGTCTGGGCAACTTAGTGAGAACTCATCTCTACAATAAATCAAAAAATTAGCTAGGCATGGTGGTACATGCCTGTGGTTCCAGCTACTTGGAAGGCTGAGGCAGAAAGATCACCTGAGCCCAGCAGGTTGAGGCTGCGGAGAGCATGAGTGTGTCACTGCACTCCAGTCTGGGCACCACAGTGAGACTCCAACTCAAAAAAAAAAAACTAAAAAATTTCCAGATAAAAACTTTTGTTGACCATTTCAT